ACTATCAACAAAATATGAAGAAATAAGTTTTGACATTTTTATACATATCATGTATTGTGTCACAAAGATATTTGAAGTTAGCATGTTAACTATCCCTCGCTTGTTTTGTCTCATAATACCACTTTGTACCTCAAGAGGAGACAGTGTGTCCTGCAGACAGGAGACAGCCTCCAACATGAGAGGATGAAGAAGCAGCACGGCCCAGAGGAAAAGAAGTGATAGCACTATTTTCTTGAGATTAGTAAATGAGTGTTGCTGTAAATACTAAATAAGTTTTGCTACGTAGCATCAGCAAACACACACAATCCAGAAGTGTTGAAAACAATAAACTGGGCAAAAGGTTAACAGCCAGGCTAACAGTTCTTTGAGCCAGTACTGGTTCTTTGAACAGATTTCTAGATTTGATTTATCACAAGATTAGAATGCCAAAATATTAATAAGGAGAATGCTAACATGCTGATGTTGAGCAGGTGTAATGTTTACTTTCTTCACCAACTATATTCAGTAATATTTGCTGATTAGAACTTAACAACGCTCAGATATCAAAGTCATTTAAGGAAAGACACAGTGTTTATGCAAAAACCCTAGTCCAGCTGAGGCTGATCGGAGGGTCATTTTGCAGGTAAATGGTTATAAACCAAAGTATTGAGTCAATTGAAGATTTGACCTGACAATTGTGCTAAATGAAAAACCAAAATTATCAGAGTAAATCTGAAGTAGGACATGAATGTGTGTAGCCAATTTCATGGCAATCCATCAATGGGCTATCAAGACATTTCAGTCAAAACCACAACATTAACCTGTAGGATTCACTAGATTAATCCTCTGGGGACCATGAATGATACCTATTTGAAGGTCTTGATTTCGTTTTTTAAGTTACTTCACCAGAAGCATAGTTCAAAGGGTTGTCCTTAATTAACCGTGGGTGTCTTTATGGCACAACATGTAATAAACCATTCACAATGCCATCAAACATTCCCTTTAAAACCCAGGTGCACTTCCACCTTGGTGGATTGCCAATATAAATGGGATTAGTGTGTCAACAATGCATTTGGCCACACTCATGAGCTTAGGTGAATTTGCTATTTAAACAACATGGGCCCGGCACAGAAAATTCCAACTGCATTGTGCTGACACTATAAGACCTCATGCATCACACTGAATTGTGCTGAGTGCAAGAAGAGGCCCTCACACATTAACGTTAATAAAAAACGACATAACATCAGCAGCCATAAGCAGCAATGACATTAGCCATTAGTGTTGAAATGGACGTCTTAAAAGAACGTTCATAGATACAGTATGTGTCCATTTAAAAATATGAAGATGACATCATTGTCTGCCGTGATGTTGTTAATTAAAACTATCACATTACACTGCAATGTTTCATGCCCCATCAAACCACATCTACCTCCAGCCTCCCTCACTTGGCTACCAGAAGGCTACAGATACAGAAAAAAAAACCCTGACCTGACCTCATGCAACAGACGAGAAAATGAAAAACACAGAGAGAAAGAGTAGAGGACAGATTAACTGTTTAATCTTTAGGCCATCAAATCTGTGATTGATCTGGGATTACACTGTGTATTTGTGTCTTTGGCCTTGTGACTTCAAATGTAGGGAAACCTTAGGCAGAATGAAGATCAAGTGAAGAAACACACAATGGTCAAACTAAAGACTCATGTGTGATATGACTACTCTACACCACTACCTGTAACTTGACTCTTTAAATATTTTTACATTTTACATGGTATCTATCAACAGATTGCTCAGCATGACAGCAGACCAGCAACTTCACCCATGATGAACTCTGACATTTGGATATCCACTTTAACAAATGATGTGCACTGCTGCCCATTTTTCCTGATTGAAATTGAGAACTCTTCTCTCCTCATTTTTTCCCTCCCTAAATCAATTGTAATCTCTCATTGTTTATGACTGGTATCTGTACAGACACACGCACACATGCATGCATCTACATGTGTGCATGTTTGTGTGGGTGTGTAATCTCTGTGACACTAGGAACCCAGAGTGTGTGTTTGGCTGGTGTTCAGCGGGCAGCTCACAGGATTACGATGACTGTTACTGCTGCATCTGTGTTTTGGGACATGAAGGCAGCATATAAAAGATGGAGAGAAATTAAGAAAGAAGTCTGTGGAGGACGATCAACTGACCGAGAGAAGAGAAGAAGGAGGAACTGTGGTTTGAAATGGAGCCGACTATGGTGCAAAAAAGAGAATGACACAAAATGAAGGGGGGGTGAAAGGGCTGTGTGTTTGTGCTGGATTATTTCTGTAGAGCAGTGTCTGTGTGTTCCAGCTGTGGACGGTGGATTATGCAAAAATTCATGAGGATGTCTGTCTCTCAGCCTTCTCTCCGCTTTCTGCAGAGAACTTTTATGTGCAGGGAGAAACCTATTAGTGACTCTCCGTGACAGCACCCTCATCAAGTTGGTGGCAACCTCACAAGGAGCTGTCAGCCCTGAGGAGCCACTCTGAGTGTGCACCAGGCAGGAGAAGACAGACACGCTGCAGCAACAGTCAGCCGGCTGATGGGACTTGGCAGCGATCATGTTGGTACACTCTTGCTTCTCCCTGTGCAGCTCTAATCCACTGGTCTGTCCTCCAACATGACAATCCTACACACATGGTGCGACCTCACACTCGCTAATAACACATACACACATGTATTGTGCACCAGCAAATTACTGCTCAACTGGCCCATGGGGGGGGGGGTCTACCACAGACTGAATGAAAAAAGCAATCACAGCAGATGCAGCAGCTGAACACTTCCGTATGCTGCCACAATCGCTTTTGACAGGACGTAGCTTGTGTACCACCGCACCCCACCCCCCTTGTAATGCAGCTACAACTCTGATGCCAGCTGCATGTTTGGCCCCAAGCTTAGTGTGATTACACCAATGCACCTGTTACTATGAGGCAAGAGTTAGACACACACATACACACAGAACTCTGCAGGATGTGGGGGGGCCATCTGCAGGAGAGGCCACATACACAGACGGTGAAGTTTGGTCCGAAAATACACACGAGTCCACTCAAACTGTCTAATTTGCAATGATCAACAGTAAATTTAATACGTTTCAGAGAGTAAATAATTTATATATGATGATGATTAAAACTGATGATGTCTTGAGTGACAGCTGAGACAAATAGTGATTGGTTGAACGTGTGTATTGACAGGACCTCATTACCCTGACTCACCATCCGATAGCTACAGCACAGACTGTGGATTCAAATGTGCAAGATGGAGGCATTCGTATCTAGAATATTTCAATTAAAATATAATGGGAAGAGGTGGAGACCCATTGTCCATCTTTAAATACAGTCTATATTTGTACCTTCAGATATGATTATCATGCAAGAGGATTGTCATGCTAAGGAGGTTAAGTTTTCAGTTTGATTGTTCATTTTGGAGCAATTATACAAAAATAACAGAACAGAATTCCATGAAACTCTGTGGAGGAATGCTTTATAGTTTAAGGAAAACCCCATTAAATTCTGATGTGTATCAGTATCTGGAGGCAGATCCAGGAGAATTTAAGGAACTGATATGTGAAATTTGGTGCAGCTTGACTGAAGGGGACTGTTAGACCTTGGCAGAGGTAAACACTCTACTGAGTTCAGTTCTAGTTTACTACTTATTAACATACATAAAAGTAACTTATCAGAAAGTGGTGGCCAGAAATGGAGATATTGTGAAGATGATGATAATAAAAGTAAACAGCCTCATTAATCTTTGATTCATTAAACATTCATATATGCTACCCATTACTTATCAAAAATAGATCAAATATTATATGAATTTTAAATCATTCATGTAATATAATCATTATGTGGATTACCTGAATCTAAAAGTGTAAATGTTTCAGCTATATGATGGTTGTTAATATAAATTTAGGATTTAAAAAGGTAACCAGGCCTTTACAATGATTTATACTTTGAATTTACTTTACGTCCTAATGTCAGATATGTTTACTGAAGTGTGAATATACAACATACTGGACATGATCCTGATTCTGAATTGTTCTTTTGCACAGTTTTACTTTCAGTGTCTGCCCTGTGTCTGACCCCCCCATGTGTGATCGGCAGCTATAGATTAGAAAACAGATAAATCAACCATGTCCTGCTCCTGACATCACCAGAGTCATCTTCAACCTGCCTGGCGCTAAGAAGACAAACAGAGCAGCCATACCTGGAACAACACAGGTTGTTATCAGGAATATCCACAGTCCAGTGTTTTCCATGCCCATGCCACCAGTGCCAGCTTCTCTGTGTGGTTCGATTCCCAGTGTGCACTTGTTTTCCCCCTCCTGCCTCCCGGACTGAGTGCAGGTTGCAGGTTCAGCTTCAGCCCCCGTGCGTCCGGCTCCACTCAGCTCTCCGAGAAACAAACCGAGCTCCCGCTGACTCCAGATCCACAAACTGCACAAAAACAAGAAATGTTTCTCAAACTTATCTCTCCCGTATCACTTTTTCTTTCTCCCGCTTTAAGTCGACTCCCCGCCGACTGGTGACGGGGCTGCAGCAGCAGTGTCCGGCTGAGGCTTGGCGGGGATAAAGCAGCTTAACGCGTGGGGAGATTATTTCAGAGAGAGCCTACCCCCCTCCAGTTCAATTCACTGTCAGCCCTGTCAGTGTGTGAGGGCTCAGCCGGATGGTGTGCACATTTACAGAAAAACAAAAAGGCGCAGTCAATATGTTTTAAACGAACAGACTCAATTTGGATACCAGACAGGGGCGTACATAAAGGAAATTGTTCCAATTGACCAGTGAAGGCCCCCCCGTGCTGATCTATCCACCATTGACACAGCTGAGATTTGATCCCTGAGCTGATCTTTATTGACATATAAATTAAATTAACCAGGATGGCCCTCAGTCGAGAGCATACCTCACATTGGACCAACAGTCTTTAAAACCACATTTAAAGGTCCAGTGTGTAAGATTGAGGTGAAAGGTATCTATTGGCAGGAATCGAATATAAAATAATCCTAGTGAATTTTTCATGTAGTAATTGTGGTTTTCTTTACCACAGAATGAGCCTTTTATATTTAATACTTTATATTTACATCAGGAGCAGGTTCTCTCTAGGGAGGCCATCTTTTTTTACAGTAGCCCAGACTGGATAAACTAAACACCTTTTGAGTTTTGATGAGAACTGAAGCTAACAGGTTCTCTCTTATATTTGCCTTTACCTTTAAATTCACTAGATTTTAGATTCATACTCTATTTGCATCTGCACCAGATGCACACATTCATGATTATCGGTTCTCTGAATGTGTTGTATTTTATCACCAAGATCCATTAATTTTTTCCTGGGAAATCCTTAAAAATATTTAGGATCCACACCAAATTTGAATCTGGTCTTCCCTGACCCATGCCACATCGATCCAGCAAGTTTCCGGGAATCCGTCCAGCATAATCCTGCCCAAAAACAATCACATACACAAACAAGCAAACTTTGTCTGGTTGTACGCCAAAATTTAACAGGTTCCCTCTTAGCCCATCCTTAATAGTCCCATGTCACATCCTTCCACCAAGTTTCATTGAACTCTGTTCAGTAGTTTCTGCATAATCCTACAGAAGTAAAAACATAAATGAAAGGATCATTAAAGAACCTTGAAAATGTGGGGGATGAGGGAGAAAACAAATAAATGCACATGGTTTATTAATTTGTGATCTGTAATTGCTTAACTTATTTGTGTCCTTTATTTATTTATTTGTGCATTTTAGCAAATGCTGTTTTTATGAACTGAATGACATCTGCAGCAAAATCATTACACATTTTGTAAATTGAAGATAAAGACAGAAATGGTGAATTGATGCTTGTACACTTGGACTTGTATATGGAATTGTATAGCATAATATTAGAACACACATAAATATCCCACATTCTTTGGATATACTAACAGCCTGCTTAGATGACTTTTAATGGTTTGGCCTTGTCTAGATGTCCAGGGGGATTTGCAGAGGAGGGAAGCTCAGGAGAGAAACCTTTTGTAGGCAGGTGAGAAATGAGTGAAACTGAAAGGTGAAAATGGGATCAGGAAGAAAGAGCGAGACAGACAGACATAAAGAAGAACCAGAAAGATCATGTAGGAGGACATGTCTGTTTGACAGAGAAATGTATTCAAATTCAATGGATTCAAAGGATTATTAAGTTGGGATCCATAACCAGAGATCAAGAAAATGTCAATTTTGAAAACAACAGATTTTTGGTGTTAATCAAATGTTTTTTTAAGAACATACTGTACTTTTATGTTGTTTTACTAAATATTGTCAAGACAAACTGCTCACAGTGATAAGGCCTTTGTCAGTATTCAGTAACATGAGCTCACTGTGCTGAAATTGTTTATTCCTTGCTTATTATTTTCATGAGCAATTAATCCTTTCTGGGAACAGCACCGTCCTACAGACGAGTTCACCTGCAGGTTCATCCTAAATTATTTAACTTCTTACTATGTTGATTATTTCCATACTTTATATTAGTTTTTTCAGTGTTAGCATTTAAACTTGAGATGAGGTGAAGCTCTACCTCTCCAATAGTTTAAGCGTTGTAGGTCATATCCATCCTTACCACAGCAGCCACTTTAACTGCACATGGCCAAACACTGGCACCTAGTGATACAGGCTGTGAATGTGCACCCAACCTACTTTGTTCTTTTTATTGGCCTTAAGGTGGAGACACTGAGCCGTTATTGTGCATGCGTCATTTTGAATGACTGTGCTAGAAATTTCTAGGGAAGTGTTAGGGATCTAAAATTTACCCTGTAATGGTGTGCATTTCTATTGTGAAAGCATGCTCTCTGTAAATTATTTCTATATTCTCTTCCCACACTAAGTGTACAGTTACAAACTTGTTAAGTACAGCACAAAACAAGATTAAACCATTATTTAAATAATATATAATCTATCAGAGCAACTTTAAAAATGGAAATCAGAGGGAGAACATCACTTAGATAGACGTGAAGGGCAATGCAGTACAAGGGAGTTCTATGAAGGAAAAAGGGTGAGGAGAGGCCCAGAGAGGAAAGGAGACAAGGTCATCACACGATGATGATGCTGACTGAGTGTTTTTTTCAGTCATCCTGCCCATGTGTCCTCCGTCAGCCACTGCAGACGAGAGAGACAAATCAGCGTTCTCTGGTCCACCTTCAGCCCTCCCACTCTCTCTCCACCTCGCTGTGTCGCTCCTACCTCGCCTCTGGAGTCTGATGCTCTGCAGTGCTGCACACTGAGCCACAAAATACCACCACTAGACGGGTGCACAGAGGCAGGAGCTCCTGCATCATTCAGTCCTGAAAGGAGGTAAGATCCCGGAGAGATGTTCTGCTGCAGCTCGGAGAAGTTGTGTGAACACTAGGGTCAAATCTGTAGGACAAAAGGATGTGCTAGATTTGCTAGATTTGGGAATGACATCAGAAGACACTCAAGTTTAATTAATAGACTTTATTAACTTGATATTTAAATCCATTAAGGCTCAGGATAGTTATACAAGCCAAACTCTGTCAAGGGCAGTGGGAAAAAATCAGGAATTGTGAAAAAAAACTGGAGATTGAACGGAGGAGAGAAAACATCTATGTCATCTTTCACTTTGAATCCTGTCCAGTCATCCGATTTTCCCACAGGTGGTTCTGGAGACAATATTTTACAAATAAGATCACAGTATCTCAGCCTTTTCCAACCAAGTGACAAACCTGTGTTTGCTGTATACTTGTTTCCTTTTGTTCTTTTTGAATTCCCTTAATATAAATGATGTCAAGACCTCAACCAAAACTACATCACAGCTGCCCGGAGAGCCTGGTCGAGAAGCAGAAATGGATGATAACTTGATTAGTCTTATCGCTGTAAAGCCATTGATTGCTTACATTTTACTTTAATGATCTTTGTAATGTGCTTATCTTTCTCACATTTCATCTCTTTTTCTCAAAGTTGGATGAGTGCTTTTCCATCATGCTCAAGTCTCTGTTTGTGTGTGGAGTGCTGGGAGGTGAGATTCCTGCTCGGTTATGTAATCCTGCTCAGTTGTGCAATGACAGGATGTAGACAATAAACTAATTACTTCTGTCTTTTTCCTTCTCTGCTCTGCGCCAGCACTCCTGATCCTAGCAGAGTGTGATACAATCTCTGTGTGTGTTGAGGATGACAACGACCTGAGGGTGGACTGTAAAATCGCGCTCAAGCCTAACAAATTCAACAGCTATGAGTTCTCCTGGTCCTCTGGAACCAAACAGTCCCTCATTAACACCAATGTGTCAGGCTTGGCCGCAGAGAGCCAGTTCAAGGACAAGAGCTATGTTGAGGAGCTGGAGCCCCAGGGCTACAGACTGACCCTGAGCGGCTTCACTGACAATCTCCCACACAACACCACGTACCTCTGCAAAATATCGGAAGACTCTGCCACTGTCACTTTGGAGGCAGGTAGGTGGATGGATTGTTTGGTGGAGTGAGCGTGAGACTAAGTGAGTGGGAGAAAACTGCAGAGATGCTTTTGTCAACTTTTTAAACCCACTTTTCATCCTCTACAGGTCAACTTCTCCCGTGTTCAGCTGTAAGAGTGTTTGTGAAGAGCTCCTGCTCCTGGATCGCCTGTCTGCTGCTCTTCTATCACACACAGAGCTAAAGAAACACACACAGGCACAGCTAACCACACTTAATCATCTCTAAACACACTTAATCATCTCTAACCACACTTAACCATCTCTCTGCATCGTTCAACATCCCGACAATACCACTATACATTAAAAAGATGTCTACAGCTTGCAACTATGGCTCTCCTGCCCTTGTGCTCTTCCTGTTAGGCCGCTGAAGAAGTATCCATCTGTTTTCATCACTCTCTTTAGAATGAATGAAGATGACTCAACAGAAATGTATACAGATGTGCTTTTTTGCTGCAGGGACACACTATATCAAATGTGTATAAAATTGCACTGAGTATCATGTCAAGTCAATATTACTTTGTAAGCTGCAGTGTTTGTTTTCAATAAAGAATATTTGCTGTTTAAAGTCAGACTTGCTGTGAATTCCATGTTCATCATGAGACAGAACTGGGGCCCACAAGCTCCAATAGGATAGTAAACTTTTTTTTTTTTTAAAGCTGAGTCATGCTGACAAGCTCCATTATGTTGGCCACTAATGTTAACTAGAATGACAGTAGAGCGTATACCTCCACAAAGGAACAACAGTTGGACAGGCTTATAAAACCATATGTATGTTCAGTACATAGGTTTAAAGACATCCCTGATATCTTTCATCAAGATCTATTAGTTATTCTCTAATAAATCAATGAAAATGTTGAAAAATGCCCAATCTTGAAATGTTAAAGAAAGAGGGGGGAAAGTCCCTGATCTACATCCACACAAAGAATGTACTGGGTTCTTCCTTTAGTCATGCCCTACCCCTTCACAAACTCTCACGGAAGTCAGTTTGGTATTTTGTGTGCATTCCTGCTGACTATCAAACAAACAAATGAAAACATGTGATGGATTTTTTTGGTAAAGTAAATTCAGTAAATTAAGCTTTATTTCAGACTATTGGGTCCATTTCAGTAGAAACATTTAATTAGATGAATAAATGACTAAATACAGCAAAGTCAGCTTCTTTGGCACTGATCAAATCAATCAATCCGATTTTATTCGTACAGCCCATTTTTACAAATCAAATCAAATGAATCAGTCCCAGCAAAGTAATGTGAATTCATTATCAATATACTTGTTACAAACATAAGATGAGACAAGATAATTCTTTATTTGTTCCGCAACGGGAAGACTTGCATTATTAACACAGCAACAGACATAAATAGGCTTCAGTAATTGATAATAACTAACTTGCAATACTCGAGTGTAAGCATAACAATATTTAAATATGAATGGAATAAAACTAATATATACAGTGTAAGAACAAGGAAAACGTGCAATGGGAGAATATGTTCAGTGAATCAGCAGAGACTTGAACCAAACCTTGTCGTTCACGTTCTTGACCCTCGCTGCTCTCCGTAGTTACCGACATCACAAAGATGGCCGCCTCCGCTGGCCGCAGTGAAGGACCTGAACTATCGAAAGCTGAATACTTAAAACGATATTTATCTGCGGATGATGATTCTAAGAAATCAAAGGGGAAGCTTAAAAAGAAACGACGCAAGCTTCCGGAGAGAGGGTGAGTTCACGGGCGCGTTTTAAACGAGCGGTTTCCTGCTAAAGCGTTGTGTGTTAAGCTAGCTCGTGTATCTGCGCTCTCATGTCTTCAGCTCCACGTTTTGAAGGAAATCGCGTTTGCAGCGTCACCCAACTCACCTGTACTTGTTTTGTTCCAGACTAAAAATAGTAGACGACGATATAGACTGGAAACAGATGGTCACAGAGGAGCAGGAGGATGAAGAGGACGAAGAGGAGGCTCCAGTGGTGAGTTCACTTACTGCTAACTTTGTCAAGCTGTTCAACCGGAGTCCATTCATTTTCATGATACAGCCAGTGTTTTCCTCAGCGATATACATTTTATGTCTTGTTATGAAAGATTTCATCAAACCTGATCAAGTTTAGAAAATCTGGCCCAAACATCGTCTTGAGATTAGAGTGGGGATAATGGATAGAAACCTCTATAATATGGTGTGTGTTATTTTACATCAGGATATGCACAGTTTGAGATTTGTACTGTAAACTAAAGATTACTCATTATAAAATAATTATATATAAAATAATCTGCAGATTAATCAATAATGTCCTAATAGTTTATTCATTGTTTCTCTATAAGAAATCCTGATCACAAACTGTGATCAGTTTTAAATTGTGCAATTTAATATCACCTAAGATTTATTTTTAAACTATTTAATAGTAGTAATTGAGAAGCTAGACTGAGGAAAAGTTAAGCATTTTTTTAGTCAGTCAGCTAAGAATTTATTGTTTCTGCTCTAATTGTGATATTTTTTTGATTCATCATCATGTTGATTGAAAAAGTCCTATCCAATATTGCTTTATGGTAGTTATTCTCATGAATTTACAATTATTGCCTTTTATACTCCAATACCACCACAGATAATAAAAAATATTGTTATAATACTATACATTGTTTTGGCAAAATCTGTCCTCTTTATTAAATTTATATTGACACATTGACTAATCTTTTCTTTAACCTTAGTCTCTTCTTTTTCTCTTCAGATTGCTGAGGTGATTGATGATCGACCAGATGAGGTCAAACAGCTGGAAGCCTTCAAAACCAATAGATGGAAAGTGATTGGAGGTAATTGTTGTTTGTCAAAGATGCAGAGAACATTTGTCAATGATTATTGTTCACGCTGAATGTCCTCTTCTTATAGCTGATGAAGATCAAGACTCAGACAGGAGTCAACATGACTCTCCAGACGCATCTCCTACCAGACAAGGTCGCCACGATTCTCCTGACATATCTCCTTCCAGACAAGGTCGCCACGATTCTCCTGACATATCTCCACCCAGACAAGGTCGCCACGACTCTCCAGATATATCTCCTCCCAGGAGAGGTCGCCATGACTCGCCAGACTTGTCGCCTCCACGTCAACAGTCAATGAAATCAGGGAAGATACAAAGTAAAGGTGAGAAGTAATAGTTGAGGCTAAATCAAATTTATTTTTGCATTGGGCAATATGATATGATCAAAAATAAAAACATCACAATATCCAGAAGACATCAACATGCGTGGTTAAGTAATTGTCCCATTTACATCAATCTCATTTGATGATTTGGTCAAACTGGAACAGAATTTTCTTCTAGTGCTGAAGAAATAATTTTGTGAAAACTAACTCTAAGTCAGGATTTTTCTTTGGAGTCTTATTTTGGATAATAACTTTGCATGTGATGCTATATAAAAGAATGACAATGAATATTGATAAATTATTAATCTGCATGTATCTCCATATGTTCAGTCAACCTTTTCCGTTCCTGTCAGCCCCTAATAGTACAACTGGCCAAACAACTTGTGCACAGTACTTTTGGTTCAAGGGTTTAGTGACACAAACAGTTATATGAACAGTTGTCTAAACAAGTTATTATGTCTTTGTCAGATTCTTCACCCACTAGAAGACAGCCAAGTAAAAAACGTTCACCGGATCCTCATGGGTCACCACAGACAAAGAAGGCTCAGAACAGACATGATTCAGACTCTGATCAATCTCCTCCAAGAAAAAAGGCAATAAAGGGAGAAGCTATAGACCTCGACCAGTCTCCTCCAAGGAGGCGCTCAAAAAAAAAACAAGGACCTGATACTGATCAGTCTCCACCCAGGAGGCGGCGAAAAAATGGAAGGGACTCAGATGAAGATCTGTCACCTCCTCGTAGGCCTGGCCAGTCACAGGTAAGAAAAATGTGTTGAATTGTAGCTGAAGTAAGGTTTTTCTCAGATAGCTGTGTTTACAGTGTGTTTGTTTTCAGGGGATGCTTTCTGGTGGAATGGCAGGTCTGGTTTCTGTAGATGTTTTAAGGAAAGAGCAGGAGGAGAACCGTCGCAGAGAAAGAAAGAACCAGCCGCTAGAAGGTTGGCTCAGCTTTACTCTTTTAATGAACTTTTCCCTTTCTCAGCCGTTAACTACAAAGTTCCCAGGAATTTCCATTCAAATGAGTCATGTATACTCCAAAAGTATACTGAATATTGTATTCTTAGCTGGGATTAGTTCTTATAAATGTGTTATATATGTTATACCTGTATTCATGCTTTGAATAGATGAATCACGTAATGCCCAGACCGTGTTCCGAGACAAGAGTGGTAAAAGGAGAGATCTGGATTCGGAGAGAGAAGAACAGAAGAGGAAAGCCGGAGAAAAAGCAGCAAAGGATGAGAAATATGCTCAGTGGGGGAGAGGGTGAGTTTGCAAAAACTTTTCCCGCATCAAAAAAAAACTGAGTGATTTTGACCGCGTCAATTTTAATTTAAATGTGTTGTGCTTGGACTTGTTTTCCGTGATTTATAATATATGTGTTTATAGGTTGGCCCAGGGCCAGATGCATCAGCAGAAACTTGAGGATGCAATGCATGAAGCCCAGAAGCCGCTGGCACGTCACCACGATGACGAGGACCTTGATCGTCTGTTGAGAGAGCAGGAAAGGGAGGGAGATCCGATGGCTGCGATGCTCAGACGGAAAAAAGCTCGGACCACAAATATGCAAGCAAAACCTCAGTATAAAGGCCCAGCACCACCTCCAAACCGATTCAATATTCCACCAGGATATCGCTGGGACGGAGTTGACAGGTGCAGTGTGTGTCTGTAAAAGAGTGAATGAGTGGGATGCATTTGTAATGGGATTAATGGGACTACAACTTCAAAAGATTGTCTTACCTTTAATTGGGTTATAATCATGGTCACTATTTTGGCCTTTACATTGGACAAGATTAGGAACTGTATTGAAAATTTGCTGTGGTGCATCACATCAAAGATGGAGACCAGGATGTGATTTGCGCAATTAACGGCAGAATTTCATTTGTCTTGCAGGTCAAATGGTTTTGAGCAGAAACGCTACACACGGATGGCAGATAAAAAAGCTGTCCAGGAAGCGGCTTATAAATGGAGCGTGGAGGACATGTAATGGAAATCTGAGGCTGATGAAGTGGGAGCAGAGCTGAGGTGCTGGGCTGATGAACTTCTGTACATTTAGTTGAGACAGAAAATCTGTGCCAGTGAAAACTACAGCAGATTAAATTCAGCTGTGAAACCAAGAAAGTTTTTTTCACCAATTGAATTGCTGTACATTAGATTATAGACTGATAAAATACAAACTTCATTGTACATAGCAGAGGGTTGACAGTATCTTTATGATTTTCTAAGAACTGATTCAATGTGGAGCAAAAAGAGAAGTGTTTTCACAGTTTTATTAAAAACATGTTTTTGTAAAGTGTTGCCCTGGAGTTTTTTTAGTTTTTTTAGATGTGTAATGGTCAAATTTACCACGAGAGAGGTGTATTATTCAGACACATTTAACTTGTGTATGTGTCCTGGTGTCATACTGTCTCAAATGTGACGATCAGGCTCCAGAATTAACCACAGATGAAACAGGAAATTCTGCTTTTGACTTGTCATACCATTAAGAGATGACATTTAAGTGTTGTCATTTGGTTGTCAGCAGGCTTGCATGGATAGGACCCCTGAGCTGGAACTTTGAATGGAATGGAACCATAATCAACATTACTAATATTACTTAAGTCCCTGCCTTAAATAAAAATGTGTTCTGTAACGGGTTATTGGTCCCACGTGCTATTGTTTGCAGCAGTAAAGTAGACAGGATTACTTATTGTGGACATTTCAACATCAGTTTTTTTAATAGAAACTTTTATTTGTGAGCAATGACTTGTCTCCTTCACATTTCACTTTTCAACAGTTTCTGGTGAAAGGGCAGGTATTTGTGGAGTGTATATTAATTTTAGTAGCTTTTGTAGTCTGTTGATATTTGTAGAATATAGTAGTTGTGATGTTTTTGTTGTTACTCTGCATATTAATCCACAAACATTGCAAATAATTAGACACGTTTTTATCTGAGTATTATTACAGATGTCACCATAGGTAATAATTGTGGGTCCGCCTGTTCCCAGCGTTGATGTTCAAACTGGTGTCAGATCAAATCGAGTGAGTAGGAACTATTATAATGCGATGGCTCGTTTCACTACGGGCTGTTTTTGTGGACGGACGCGCAACAACCGGTTGCTCTCAGGGAACAATCTGGAGCTCGTGTATGAAAGGAGACGCTCGCAGCTTCGTCTTTGGTGAAAATGGTTGACTGGAGTCCCATAGCGAAGGTGTATGATCCTCTTAAGGCTGGCAGCATCGACGGGACGGACTTGGAGCCTCATGACCGGGCCGTGTGGAGGGCTATGGGTGCCCGATACAAGCCCAACAAGGGTGTCGCTGGAGATCCGCTGCTCACTCTTTTCGTGTCTCGTCTGAACCCCCAGACCGACGAGGAGAAGCTGCACCAGATCTTCTCCAAGTACGGAGACATCCAGCGGCTCCGGCTGGTCCGGGACATCGTCACGGGCTTCTCCAAAAGATACGCCTTCATCGAGTACAAGGAGGAGCGCTCTGTTGTCCGGGCCCGCCGGGACGCCAACAAACTGGTGGTGGACCAGTACGAAGTGTTCGTGGATTTCGAACAGGAGAGGACCCTCAAGGGGTGGGTCCCGCGGCGGCTCGGCGGCGGGCAGGGAGGGAAGAAGGAGTCCGGGCAGCTGCGGTTCGGGGGCAGGGACAGGCCGTTCCGTAAACCCATCCACCTCGGTGTGGGTCTGGTGCAGGACCGGGGAGCTGGAGGCAGGGAGTGGGAGAGACACGGGGCGAGAGACAGGGAGGACCGGGACCGACACAGGGAGGGGGATTGGGGCAGCAGAGGGAGGAGAGACGACCGGGACAGAGGCAGAGAGAGGGACGACAGCAGGTACCGGGACAGGAGCAGGCACCGGGACAGGAGGTGAAACCGTGTAAAGCAACACGACTCCCACCTTGATGGCGGTGATGCACCTTAACGTTGGTTGCCACCCGCCGGTAAACCAAACGAAGAAGAAGAAGAAGAAGCCTCTCACCTGGTTCATGTGCAGCTTGTGCCAGATGTTCAGTGCAGCTGCTCCTCGAATGTGAAGCCAAGAAGGCAGTGAAAGAAAGTTGAACTGATGAGGTTTGCACATGTTAGGACGTATGGCAGGCTGACAGTTTAACGTCTCTGTGTCATACAGACTTTTACCAATGAGGACTTTTTAAGGCATCATATGTGGTGAAACCCACTGAAGAGGATTTTGTGCAACGCTCCTTCTATACTCAAGAGATTGTTACCAAAGTTTTAGAAACTTCTCGGTGTCCTCATTCATCGTCAGTTTAAGTTACTAAAAATGTCCACTTGTTCTATTTGTAATTAGCGGCATTTCACTCTGTTGTAATATGTTTTTATTTCTGGCACTAGCAATGGTGCTGTGTAATTGCAATGGAAATATATACGTCATCAAACAAATGTAGAGGCCACCAATAAGAATAATTAAAGGTGAAACTGCATTAGTTAATTAAGGCTTGATTTTTATTTTAATTTTTGTTCTGAGCCAATGGAGGTTGTTGTTTTTTACACATGTTCACTTTTTTGAAAGCAAAAACAACAACAATGATAACTACAAAATACAAGAAATCGTGTCCAGAATATAGACTGAATGAAGATTCAAGACAGGACAGCTTCCTGAAAGTAAAGCCAAATCATCTTGACTGCCCTCTGGTGGCTGGCTGGACAAGGAGAAAACAGCATCTTTATCTGAAATATTTTAGCTTAATTTCTGTATAACATGGAAGCTAAATTAGAATGTGCAGGATGTCACTTTTAAAGTTTGATTTCAAACTCATCAAATTCTTAGTAGTGTGGAGTTTTATTTCAGATGTTTGATCCCTGATCCTTCCCGCAGAGGCAGGTCATGTTTCCGGTATGGGTCATCAAGAGGATTGTTTTTCTTCAAGCTGATGTAGAATGTCTCGTCATGACTCATCAATGCAACTGAGAAAACAACACATACCTCACTTCTTTTTCACTCTAATCATGTCTTAAAGGTCCAGTGTGTAAGATTTAGGTGAAAGGGAACTATAAACTAGAAATTTAATGTAGAATAATCCTCATGATGTTTTCACTAGTTCGTTTCATCTAAATTATATGAATTGTAGTTTTCTTTACCCCAGAAAAGGCCCTTTATATTTGAATACTTTATATTTACATCGGGGGGGTCCCCTCTACCGAGGCCGCCATGTTTTTTACAGTAGTCCAGACTGGACAAACATGAAACAGAACCTGTGGTAGCTTCTTGTCATAAAAGCTTTTGAGATTTTATGACAAGAAGCTACCACAGGTTCTGTTTCATGTTTGGAAGGAGAGGGTGAGGTGAGGGGTGTTCTATGCAATGTACTTTTAACTGATTAAGATTAAAAATCTTAGAGTTACAGCGTAGTTCATGATTAGGTAACAAGCACAAAATAAGAACCAATAAAACTGGTATGTTTTTCACTGCTTAGTAAAATCCTGTTTATTGCTGTGCAAGGCATTACATGATTATGACATCATCACAAGAATAAACTAGGATTCATGGCAATAAATTCTACTATAATAATAACAAACAGAAAATGATTAAAAAAACATATCACAAGTGGGTCTGGGGTGACAGGCTGATTTCTCACACATGGTTGAGACTTTCTTTCAGAAGCCATGTGTGGTTGTCCGGACGGGGCTGCTTTCAGTCCTCTGGCCCAGCATACCTGGGTTTCATGATGGGCCAACCAGGGTAAGTCTCTCTTTGAACTGTGTTAAACTCGATCCTGTGAACCAAAACAGACAAACTCTGATGAGCTGTCCTGTACACAATGCTAAAGTACACTGTGGTGTTAGTATAACTCTCTCCCACCTGAAGGCCGGGTTGATGCCGATGTTGTCCGGCTGCGGGAGGGCGGGCGTTCGCCTCCTGCGGCAGCAGGACGGAGGAGGGAAATCCTTCTGATACTGAGACTGCATCTCTGCTGTATCTTGTTCATTTTTCACTGCTGTCGCCTCCTCCCCTGGTTCCCTGTTCCCGCTGCTGTTTCCTCTTCCTGTTTGTCTCGAGGCTGGGGGATGAGGACAGTGGGACTCCTGCTGTGTGCTCTGGGTGATATGGCTTCCTGAAGGTAATCATGAACTTGTTAAATGGTTTCAATTTCAACACAGATATGAAATGTCCCATGAAACAACAAATCTTTCTGTCTAAGGAAACAACATGAAACATGTATAAAAGCTTCACAAATTTAAAACTTATAACAATCCATATATATGCAGCTGATAAATGTTATACTGTCACACCATTTGTCGTGTAATGTTTCATCTTAGTGGCAGTTTTTAACTTAAATGTACATTTACACTAAAGGATACACCCTCATATCCTAAACATATTTACAGTATTTCTGTTCTATTCTAAATGTTAACTCCTCCAGTATCATCTCACTAAAATTACAGCGTATTTATTATATTAAGATACAATTGATTTAACTTTTAAATGAAAGAAAAAAAACAACTCATATAACTAGCCCTCACATGATCTTTTCCAAAACACCCTCTCATGTGTATGACACACAACACATTGCCGGACATGTCGACTGTCAACACTTAAACATTCATACGTCCACACAAACATTAGTCGCTGCTTATCTCAAAACAGATATGGTGAGTGTACACTGCGGGCTGAGATAAGACCTTTGCCTCTATCTTGTTGTGGGACAGGCCTGAAGCAGAACGCCTGTTGTGACGTGGTTTCCATCTTAGCAGGAGTGTCCGGGTAGAGGAGCAATCCTGCGGAAGTCAGGACGTAACAAAAAGTATAAAAAGTTATTCCGGTCTGTAGTGTAAATGTTTAAAATGAAACAGTATTGAGAAGTTATAATTAGTTATTGATATTTAA